CGGGAATGTTTGAGAGGAAAAGAGAAGAAAGATTGTGAAGTAGCTTTGTTTTTGAGATGTGTAGATTGGTTTGTGAGAAAATGAGAAGTGTGATGGTGCTATATATATGACTCTGACTGAGTGTGGGTCATCTTATTTTATGTATATAAATAATTAAATGAAAAAATTAGATCTTGAAAACAATTTGAAATAATAAAGAGGAAAAGAAAGAGGGATGTTGTATGCTTTAAAGAGAAAGAGAGATGGAAGTTGCAGAGAAATAGGAAAGATTAAAGAGAAAGTAATGGTCCATTGTACTTTTGACAGCTAACGAATGATCCATAGTCCCACACTTTTTCCATACAAGTTTGGTTTAGGTTAGAAATTTGAATTTCGTTTGTTATAGGATATGTTTATTTGTATCACCGGTTGAAGACGGGTTAATTACCAAGTTTCATGCAGATAATGTATATGCTAAATGTGACTTTATTTGAATGTTACATGATAGTAGTAACTCAATATTTGGATTTGGATAAGAACCAACCAAGGAATCTCGAATGGAGACATAGGATTCTTATGGCGAAGCACCAAAGATGTACATGTTGTGTACTATATAGTATATTCTTTGATTTAACAAAAACAATTACCTATTTGAATCAAGTTGGAAGAATTAACAAATGTTGATACTTGAATACTAATCGATGTTTAGTGGAATATATCAGTGTTTTTCTTGTTGTGTCAGAAGGAGCAATAGTCACAAACAGCCAAAGTTGATTTTTTCGAAATTGACCGTATCGATAAAGCATGACGGAATAATACAGCTTAGTTACAGACAGCATTAGAATAAAATGACGAAAATACCCTTAATCGCAAGCTGTATCATTTTGTTAAAAGCTTAAAGCGCGTGGGCAGTCAAAAGAAAAATGTGAAAGCTTGGGAGAGACGTTGGAGGATTTTTATTATTTGTACAGCCTGGAAAAAGGAAGAAAAAGTATACTAATTAAATATTTTTGGATTCCGAATGAAGAAATTTCTCTAATAATAATAATTAAATACTTTCCTTTGAGAGCTATATGGGGAAGAGTGTACAGCTGGCAATTAGCAAGAAGATAGAGGAACAACCTAATCCATAGAGGCATTTACTGAGAGTATGTCGGCACGTGACATCACGCGCTTCCATGTCATGAAACTGACTGACTTGTGTACTTGGAAGAAGAAGGTGAAAGCTCGTGATTGGGGAGCTTGCAAGGTTACAATTACAAGTACACATTAGCTGGACTTTGGTTGGCTAATTTGGCTCTCTCACACGTTATTCGCCCACCCGCAGCGTTTCGTTTTCTTTTTTTTCCCCTCTAAAAAGGTATAATTGTTAAGACGTGATCATTGTTGAGGTAAGACGTTTACCAAACTTGATATGCCATTATTAAAATCGTATCGTATTATCTTAAGCTACAAATATCATCTAGGTCGTTCCCAATCAACATGCAAATGTTCTTTTTATCACAAAAAGGAAAAAAATCAACATGCAAATCAAAAGTCCTAGTGCATGCATTTTTAAACATTTATATATTTATAATAATATAAAATATTAGCTCGTGTTGTTTTTTAAACCATGAAATTTAGGTTGTCATCGCTTCACCAGGATACCATTTTA